AAAAATGGCAACGATTTGAAATATAAATGGAAGAGGTTGGGAGGTAGAATTATGATTACTCCACATCTATTTGTGAGAAATAAATGTATAGGAGTTTTTTTTAGCCTAAATATAATTAATAAACAACTACTCATCATCCCTTATTAGATTAGCATAATTAAACTCGCTTCATTAAAATACGCAAGCCACTATATCAAACAATTCATAAGGGCATTTTAGAAAAAAAAATAAAGAAAAAATTATGTTAGGTTTTGTGAAAAACAACTTATTTAAAAATAAGTTTCATGAAATTCAAAAATCATAGATAGGTCTTTTAAGACTTGAGTATAATTTAAAGTTGGGATAAAAAGACAATATTACTCTCGCTTATTAGGTTACAATGACACAAATGTCCCTCTACCTAAATTAAATAGTAAGCTCACTCTCTTCATTAGTCCACCGCATAATTGCTCGCTTTGCATCGCTCTACCATGTACATTCTTCTCTCATCAATCCACATATTATATTGCTCACTCTCTTCTTGGAATTGTATGTTGAGAAAAAATCCATGATCTATCATCATCATCATCACGATCAATTGTGATCGATTTACTCTATACTTGCTTTACATGCTAAAGGCTTTATCTGAATCACTAGATATTTAATCATTCAATCTAAGTTTCATTGTTTTAAGTTTCATTTTCATTGTCCAGTTTTTAGACTTCTCACAAAAGTCACTACATACATGGCTATGGAAAAGAGATATGACAGTTTGTAAAATTGTTTGAATATCTGTGTAAGTAAATTAAGAAGTTCTACTAATTATAAAACATCAAATAGGACTTGTAAATTAAGAAATTTTACTCATAAATTATGAATTTATAATTGTAATTGGATGGTAAATACAATTTTAGACTACTGTTATAAAACACGAAATATATAGGACTTGTGAATTAAGATGTTTTACTCATAAATTATGAAACTATAGTCATAAATGAATGATAAATACAATTTCAATCTACTATTTTATAAAACATGAAATAGAAACTTATGAATTAAGAAGTTTTACAGGTAAATTTTGAAGTTACAATTATAAATGAATGGTAAATACAATTTCAATCTACTGTTTATAAAATATAAAATAGGACTTGTGAATCAAGAAGTTTTACTCGTAATTCTAAAGTTATAGTTTTAAATGAATGGTAATCATTCCACTATTTACAAAACACAAAATAATACTAGAATTATTAATAAGTTCTACTTATAAATTGTAAAGTTACAGTTTATAAGTGAAATATAAATATACTTTTAGTCTACTGTTTATAAAATACAAATAAATTTGTGAATTTGTGAATTAAGAAGTTTTACTCATAAATTTTGAAAGTTATAGTTGTAAATGAATGGTAAATCACTAAAAAAAAAGTGGATTAGTGACAGAAAATTCCATCACGAATCAATATAAAATCCATTACTAAATGGGTTAGTGATGGAATTAGCAATGGAATAATTCTGTCGGTAAAAACATTGTCACTAATTTTGTTAGTGACAAAACTTAAAATTTTGTCACTAATTAGTGACGAAACTAGTGACGAAATTGTAATTCCATCGCTAATTAGCGACGGAAATTTTTTGCACTTAACAAGGATTAGCTATTCCAATTCTATGATAGAATGCATTCCGTCTCTAATCCGTCACAAATGAAAATTCTATAAAAAAGTCATCATTGCCACTAGTGGGCTAGTGCCACCTCATCACCATGTCACTGTCACGTCGTCGCCACGCCACCATGGTAATCTCCACGTCATATATTAACTTTAAATGGGCCTTGGCTAATTTCAAACTCATAACTTCACATCTTTGTGAGCCTTTGCGTCCAACCTTATTGCCAGTTGAACTGAAGGAAATTTTAGTCTTTAATTGGATAACTTAAATATATAATATTTAACTACCTACACACACACATATCAATAAATATATAATTTAAATATATTTTATTTATTAACATTAGTTTTATTTATCAACAAAATAAATTAATTTTTTATATAATGCTCTCCTGTTTAAAAATGTAAGATATTTTTAATCAAATCTCACCCCCAATAAAGTAGTTACCTATTTTCAAACTAACTATATCTTTTATATTACCCTTATTAAACATCTTACAATAAATAGGGGCATTTTTGAAAAAAAGATAATGATTACACTTCAAAGACTAAAATGCCTTACATTTTTTAATGGAAGGAATACTTATTTTAAATTATATTATAATTTTAAAAATTATTTTTATAAAAATTTTAATATTAAAATGAACAAATACTTTATTATCACTATATTTGATTATAATTTTAATATATAACATTTTATATTTGTAAATTATTTTTTAATATTTTTTATTTAAATAATAATAATTAAGTATGTTACTATGCTATCAAAAAATAATTAAATATATATTAAATTATTATAATCATTATTAATATCTAAATAATTTAAAATAATAAATTATAATTACAAAGGTTTGCGACAAAAATTTTCCATCAGAAATGCTATCACACAATGAGAATAATGTATCCTAAAAATTATCGATGGGCATTTCCATCAAAAAATTCTGTCGCTAAATTATTTCTGATGGTTTAGCAATAGAATAGTGACAAAATTTTTAGTGGCGCAACATTCCGTCGCTAAATGTTGTCGGCAAAATTATTTTTGATGGTTTATGATAAAATAGCTATTGATTTTTAGTGACAGTTCCATCACTAAATTTGTCATTAAATTAGTGACGAAATAAATTTCTATTGCTAAATTCAGTTGCTAATTTACTGTTTATTTTTTGTAGTGAATTACAATTTTAATTTATTGTTTATAAAACATGAATAGGAATCATAAATTAATAAGTTCTACTTGTAAACTATGAAGTTACAGTTATAAATGAATGATAAATATGATTTCATCCTACTATTACAAAATACAAAATAAGACTGTGTGAATTAAGAAGTTTTACCCATAAATTTTGAAGAGTTACAATTATAAATGAATGATAAATATAATTTTAGTTTACTATTTATAAAACATGAAAAAGGACTTATAAATTAAGAAGTTTACTCATAATTAAAAAGTTTATAGTTGTAAGTGAATAATAAATACAGTTTCAAACTTATTCTTCCTTCCGTTTCTATTTGTAAGAGAAGCAAAACTTTGTTAGTAAGAAGAAAGCCTTTTATTTCATTTAAATTTACATTTCTTAATTTCTTCCTTCCAATGTTTGGTTCGTATTCTAGTTTTGTTTTATTAGCGCACCCGTGAGCTAAAGAATTTTTTCCCCGGAAGGATTACTTGTCCCGACGATGTTCATGTTGTTCCCTCTTATCATTAATATTTTTTAATAAAAAATTGAGTCATAAAATATATATACATATCCATGATTTATTATGTATGCACACATTTCTAGACACATATTTAAATAATATCAAAAGGACTAGTTAATTCAAGTTAAGTTTCAAGTACCAAGTTTAAAAATTTACAACTTAATCTTTTAATTTTACAATTACATTATGATAAATTTGTAATTTATTTTTTAAATTTTAATATGATTGAAAGAATAAAAAAATTTATTTTTTCTGTTAAAGTTTGAAATATAAGTTGAAAAATTTATCACAATAGAATTATACATTTAATAAAATTTGATACTTGAAATCTAACTTGAATTAATTGATTCTTTTGATACCTCTCTATCATTCTTCCGGAAAGTACAGAAATTTATGATAAAAAATTAACTATTATTTTTTTAAATAAAAAATAAAATTCTACAAACATACACCAAAATAATAACAAAGTAATGCGGAAGAAAAAAATTTGCATCTCTCTCTTTAATAATTCGCTAAAATAAGCAAGAAATAGGAACTTATACTTTCCTTATATTCTTCTGTAATATAAATCCAAGCTAGAAATATTGAAATACAAGGAATTCTATCTATGTGACAAAAATTAATAAATTAATAAACTTAAAATTGTTAAACACACATTTAATTTCTCTATGGATTATCCATCATGATCATGATCATCATCGTCTATACATATCATCAAGCGGATCTTGGAAGGTGATTTCTGTCAAACATGTCTGCAGAATCAGAGTGAAGTTGCTCATTGCCCAATCTGGCCGTCAAGAAAGCATAAAGCTGCAATCTGCCAAACATGGAGATGAAATAAAACCAAAGTAAAAATTTGCAGGCATTTGAATCAGAAAATATTTACTAAAATGTGCGTGCTGATGCCTGATAGATCATAGCATATAAAATATTTTTTTGTTAATTTTTATTGAATCCATCATATGATTAATAATTACTCTTGGAAGAAAGCAAAGAACAAAACTTACTTTCGAATAGAGTGATTCTCTTTTCTCTTCCATGCATTTTGCGAATCAGATTGGTACTTTTGGCCTAGTCTAGCCACAATGGGAAAAGCAAAAAGATTTCTCAATATATATATATATATATATATATGAGAGAATCATCAAATGACCTTTCAAATCATTTTGGATCGGACACTCACTCGAAGTAGTGGCTGATATTAGTATCATTATCAATCTGATCTACTTGAAGGTTGACAACTTTTCCCTGACTTCTCCATTGCACTGTTATAAAAAAAACAAAAGCAGATTAATGAAATTAGATAGAAAAAATAAGATATAAACAAAGTTTTAAGATCTCACTCATTCTTTTAAATTATATCTCCTAATGTTAAGTAATTATATCTATTTTCACTTAAAAAAAAACTTAGGATTCTCATGCTTCAGAGAATCCGTAAAAGCTTCAAAAACAATTAACGGCAAGAAAATAGAAATAGTGCTAGAGAGAGTGATATTCTTATCAATGATCAAAATATGCAAAGAATTAAAGCTTTTTTTTTTTTGGATCTCAAAGAATCATATGAAAGGAAATGTAATGTAAACAAACCTCATTTAAAAATGTAAACCTGTAGGTTACAACTTTGAAGATGTTTAAAGTGCTAAAAGCTATAGGTTACGCATTGTATTACCAATGTCTATCATCCCCACATATCATCAAGTTGATCTAGGAAGATGATTTCTGAGAAACAGAACAGGTGTGAAGCTGCTCATTGCCCAAGATATCTCGGCAATCAATGTACATTCTCCAACTCCCATCTTTCTTAGGTACTAAAAGAACAGGTACAGTACAAGGGCTAATACTTTCTCAAACCAACCTTTTCTTCAACAACTCTTCAACTTGCCATTAGACTTCAGCATGTTCCTAGGGACTCATCCTATAAGCAGGCTTGTTAGGAATGACTGCTCCTGGAATGAAGTCAATTGCGTGCTATATGTCTCGCATGGGAGGCAATCCTGGTGGTATCTCATTAGATATTACATCTAGAAATTTTGACAATAGCGGAATGACTCCTGGGGATTGGCCAACTCATCGTTCACCTCAAGCAACAGAATAAAGCTTATCATTTAGGCTTCAGACTTCGACACCTTGAATTCCTCCTTAGTCATCAAAAACACTAATGGCTTAGAAGCGCTAGATTCCTTTGAAGATTGGCTAATCTCACTGGGTGGTAAAGGCACTAGTGTGAACTTAACACCATCTTTCGTAAAAGAATAGGTATTTGCTCGCCCGTTGTGCATAGCATGTCGGTCATATTGCCATGGCCTCTCCAAGAGAAGGTGGCATGCATCCATGCATGGGAAAACAACATCACATAAAACTTCATCACAATATTGATTCCTAATAGAAAAGGTCACAAGGCATTGTTTAAAAACTTTTACCTCATTCACTTTGTTGAGCCAATGAAACTTGTAAGGTTACGGATGATCTTGTGTTAGCAACTTCAATTTCTCCACCATGTAGTCAGATACTACATTTTCACAACTTCCACTATCAATGATGACATTACAAACTTTTTCTTGGGTTATGCAACGAGTGTGAAATATGTTACGTCATAGCCAAGGTTCTTCTTTGACTACAGTTGTATGCAGACTTCGTTTAAGCACCAATGCTTCTCCCTGATCAGCAGGTGTGACCTCCTCGTCATATATAGGATCAGTGTCGTAGAACTCAGAGTCCTCCTCATCTTCTTTAAGTGCTTCATACTTTGGTCCTTCCCTAATGGTGACAACCCTTCAAGTAGGACAGTCCGCAGTAATGTGGCCAAATCCTTAGCATTTAAAGCATTTGATTACTTTAGAGCCAGATTCCTTAGCAGCATTAGATGGTGGTTTAGGCATAGTGATAGAATGCAGCTTACTTGAGGAGTTAGTCTATTGAAATTTTGCCTTACGGCCTTCTGGATAACCCCTATAGGACGACAGCTGGAAAGTAGATCTCTTGGGCGTTTGCTTCTCAACACGCATGGCTAGACGGATGACATCATCAAAGGTCCAATATTGCTGAAGCTGGATTGGACAACTGATATCTATGTTTAAGCCTACAAGGTACCGGGCTATTGTTTGCTCCTCATTCTCCTGAATGTCACACTTCATCATGAGCTACTCAAATTCTCTGGTATATTCTTCTACAGATAAAGATCTCTGTCGAAGATTTGCAGCTGGTTAAAATTATCTTGGTAGTAATGATCTAGCAGAAATTTCTTGGTGAGCTAGCGTTTCATTTTCTCTTAGGTCTCAATCTTAGGCTTTCCCTCACGTTCCTGCTTCCTTCTGAGGTTTTCCCACCAAATAGAAGCATGTTTCTTGAGTTTAAGGGCGATAATTTTGACTTTCTGCGCATCTGGAATCTCCTTGTATTCAAATACTCGTTTAACAGTTTGCAGCCAATCTACAAACTCATCTGGCTAGAGCCTTCCCTCAAATTCAGGAATGTCTACCTTGATGTCATTATGGCAGAATTGTTGTTATTGTGGACGGCGGTGGTTGTCAGTGGATGATAAAATGCTGCTTCCTAAATCTCCCTCTAAGTTGTCTCTATTGTTGTTTAACAGAGTTCGCTGCAATTCCACAGTGGCTTCCAACTCTCGTATCCTATGTCTCATCTCTTCCATCTCAACCTCGTGCACATGCCTATGTCTTGAAGGCATTTTGGATAGGCGTCAAGGCTAGGAATATTGGAAAGATTGGGATGCAGATGGAAACGTTGAAAGGATATAGGGGTAGAATAGGATTTTTAGAAAAGATAGGAGCAAAATGGGAATTTTTGACATTCTAGGGGTAAAATGGAGATTCTAAAAAAATGGGGGTCAAACTGCAATTTATAAAAAATATAGGGGTCAACATGAAATTTAGGTAAAATTAAAGGGCAAAGTATAATTTCAGGAAAGTTTAGGGGTCAAAATGAAATTTCAAAAACTTTGAGGGGTCAATATTAAATTATGGAAAGATTTGGGGCAAAAATATAATTTTTTGAAATATGGCTGACTATGAATAGTGACATGGCAACCGTGACTCGTGGCATCAAACGATTGGGCTGACCTGTCGTTGACCATTTATAGAGATGACGTGGCAAATGATGTCATCGTCGTCTTCCTTCAATTGGCGCGTGAACCGGTGGTGAGGCGAGTGGGCTTCCGACGATGGTGCGTGTATGTTTTTTCAATGACAGGGAACCTCCTGTTCCACATTTTCGGACCTCCTGAGTAGATAGTGATGTCAGTTTTTCAAGAAAACACCTAGATTACAAAACGCGAAAATGTTAGGGACTCCTCCACTAAATCTCTCTCTTCTCCAGCGTACTTTCTCAACTGTAACTTACTCTCTCACTCTCTGGACCTGCACTGATACCAAAATGGCACAGAGATTGAATGGAAAAATGCACTTATGATTATTTTCAAACTTAGCTGCTTATTACACTGGATCCGTGGCCTATATATACTAGAGTCATGGCTAAACGAAACAGAAATGAAACAGAAGAATTAAAACAAGGGTTTCATAGGTTACAAATGGGTTTTGAATGCTTTTAAATGGGGAACGTTTCTAAGGCATGAATGGACATTTCTAAGGCTTCAATGCAGCAACTTCATTAGCTTCCATTTCTGCCGTTTTCTATTTCAAATAAGTCAAGGTATCGTAAATGTATGAGATTTCTTATGGAATCGGGTAACTCCACAACATAAATAGTGTTACATAGAGATAAAAATCGCATAAAATTATGCTTTGACAATTGATCAAGTGTTACATTGCTCCAACTCCAACTGAAATATTGATAAGATCCAAGAGGCACGAATGTCCGTAATTTTCTACTTTTGTGCAGATGCACAAATTGTATAAATTTATTATACCCTGGCACTAAAAAAGATAAGTGACAATTTTTTTCTAAAATATTCAGCACTCCTTCATCCTCTTACCTTGAACAAAATTCTCCATATATAAAATTTTCCAAATCATTAAGAAGGTCATGCATAACAAAATGTGTTTCGTTTTGCATGGATTTTTGAAAAAAAGACCTTGACACAAGTTCCTAGAAGCATTCATTGCCTCCCTCTTCAATTGCCATATCTAGGTGTGAGACTTGTAAGAAATCTTGAGCCGTCCATAATAGAACTAACTTCTCCTTATTAAATTCATAATCTTTAGGGTATAATGAACAATAAGCAAAGCATCGCTTAAGATGAGAGGGGAGATAAAGATAGCTCAATACCAAAGCAGGAAGAATATTGTTATATGAAATGTTCCATATCTCACTTGACAAAATGGCATTCCATTCCTCCCAAGATAATTTCTTATACAAGAGACTTCCAATTGTTTTCAAGGCCAAAGGCAAGCCCTGCTAATCACTAGCAAAGAGATTCTAATAACTATGTAGCACCATCACTGAAATTCACTTCACATTGATGCAACAACAAATAAAAGATGCATGTGAGATAGTGGTAAAGCAGAAGGAACAAAACCTGGCAATGAAATATGTTTTCGTAATGCATAAAATTGAGAGGCAACATTTGAGTTGAGCGTTTGTTCTTTTAAACAGAACAGAGTTGAACCAGCAAAAAGCTTCTTCATGGACTTCATTTGCGATGCTTTAGATTGAGAACCCGAATGCCAGAGTAAGCTCATATTTTCCATTGCTCTCAACAAGAATAATGCCAGAGTAAATGCTGCAAATTCAGCAACTGTTATGGTTAACGAAGTTCTTAGTGTAAATTATGTGTAATTAAATGTCTTTTTATTTAAATTAGAAGCATATATGCAATTGTGTGCTGACCAACAATAACAAGAAGCATTTTTCCTTTTGGTAAGTATAGTTGTTATACGTGGCATGCATTGCACAAGTTTATAGACACACATGCAAGCTCCTTGGGCTAGATATATGTTGGTGAACTCTCTGGTTTTTCTATAGAATGGACAATATTCACCTCTCTTCTTCACTCGTTACCGTTTGAATTTAAGCTTTGAATATAGAAACTAAAATTTGTCGACACAAAGTTATAAAAGCGATTTAGAGACCAAGTTAAGTGGCACATAAGAAACCACACATCGTCTTCATAATCATCTGAGATAGTAGCTTTTGCAATACTTTTCCATTGCCTTTCACAAAGAATATCAAAGTAAATCCTTGTCGCTGTTAACAAAGTTTTTAGTTTGATAGGGGAATTCTAAATCCTAAGTAAATATGAACAGAGAAACAATTCAAGTGCAATAATGTGTCATAAAAAAAATGTCTATTTATTAAAAAAAAAGATTTGCCAAAAGCTCCACAAGTCTCAAAGTAAATCCTCTACAACTTTGGAGCATGATTTTAAAAAAGTTATGTTTTTTTTTTAACAAATTAAATCTCATGGAAATGCAAAAACAAAATCTAATCAAATATTTGGAAGACAATGAATGTGCATTACATATATACATGGACAAAGAAGCCTCACATTTGAGTTATTGCTTGTTCTCATGCTAAAACTCATAGATACCGCAGAAACTTTGAATCAATGTTAACACAGGTACATGTATAAATTCAATCATCAAAGTCAACGAAACACAGAAGCAAGAAATAGCGTAACATTTTTTTTTTTTTGGGTTTTAGTGCAAGAACCAATGGCTATGATCACAAATGTACTTCTGCTTCTGATTTCGTTGAAGAGAAAGGGGTATGTGTAAAGGAATAGATGTACGCCAAAAGATAGAAAAAACACATACCTGAGTGGTGGCTAGGAAATACAGTAGTTGAGTCATTTGTACTTCAAAAATTGATCAAGTTAGCATACCATTATCAATCCCTGATTCCCAATGCATTGGAGCTTTGAACAATCTTAAGAAAAGACCTTTGAAATCCAACATTGTGAGATTCCAACATCTACTAATGTAAGCATGAAGAAGAAAACTTGTATCGTGCAAGCTGCTCTGCTCATGGCCGTGAAACCCGAACAGGGAGGGGGAAAAAAAAGAACAAGGCTGGTTTTGAAACATTCCAAAAGCAATAACCAATACCTGTGAAGTCCTTCAGAGAGAGCCAAAGATACTCACTCGTCTTTCCATATACTATGATGCGATTGGATCACCCACAAACCATTCTATATATTTCTGCATTCAACCACAAGTCCTATTATAACTGTCTGGAATAATATATGTAACAATCAAATTATGCAAGAATTGAAGCGTTTATTGAGTCTAAAGCACTATATATCAGGAGGGGGGGAAGGAAGAGGGCTCAAAGTGTAACCATTGAATAGAAAATAACAAGAAACTAGGGAAGTATCATCGAATAAAGCTATAGGTATATCAAAACTTTGAGGCAATTTAAAGCACTGCAGTCGAATAAAGTGAATGTCGAGAGGTACGCATTGTATTGCCATTGCTTACCATAGACAGAAGCAATAAACAATATAACAAATAATTGGTAAAAATGTACTCATCAATAACAGAGTAGATCCTTGAAATTTAATAAATGTAACTTTAGAATCCTTATATAATTTTACAAGGGAAATGAAAATCATGAAAATTTCAACAAAGGAAAAGAAGAGAAAATTCAATTAATCCAGGGAACAATTTTAGTGATTTTTTTTGAAATGGAATCCGAGGAAAATCCGAAAATAAGAAGAAAACCTCACATTTAACCATTTGCAACCATGTGTTCATAAATCAAAATATTCATGAAGGATTGGAGATGGTTTTTTCCCAGTCCGAAAACATTCTATCCAAATTATTCATTAGCAAGTGACAAAATAAAAATAAAAATAAATAAATAACAGAAACGTAGTGTAGAAAAAACGACAATTCGATCAAGTATGTAATTATGTGTAAGGAAAATTAGGAAGAAGGACCTTGAGGTCAAATTATTTGGGGGAAAAAAAGATCAAGTTCCTTCAGATAAATTAAAATTACGTGAATTAAAACTAGAACATAAATTCACTTGAAAGACGTTGATACTTTTTCCCCCCAAATATTGACTTCAAGTTCCTTCTATCTAATTTCCCCTTAGTTGTAACCGAATGTGTGTAATCAAGGGACGATTTCAATGATTTCATCTATTTAAAATTAAATGCGAGGAAAATACGAAAGGAATAAGTGCACAGGAAATTATAGAATAGTAGAAACCTAAGTGGTGGGGTAGGATTAGGAAACAGAATGATCGGGCCACTCGAACTTCACACTGTCAATTCAAATGAACATGACGGATGTGAGCAATTTTTGGCCAGTCTTGGCCTTTCAGTTTCTGGCACCGTTGTTTAAGAAATGGACAATCTCCCCCAATATCAAGTCTAGAAAGAGAACTGGGGAGGCCCTCCTTGGGCAAGCCTTGGAGTCTCGGACAGCTTTCAAGAAGCAAATGTTGGAGAGAGGACAGCTGGCAAAGACCTTTATAATCTAACATTCTAAGGTTGGAATAATTACTGATGAAAAGAATACTAAGAGAAGGTGGAAGCAGCCGTGGTTCAGGTAGAGACTCCACCACATCATCTGAAATCCACAAACAACTTAGAGAAGCATAATTGTGCAAACCCCATTCCATTCGACCTGCAATAACTTTTGGGCATTTCATGATAGTAAGATTCCTCAGTATTGATGGCAAACCCCCATCTCAAAATGATTCCATTTTTGGACAATCACTTATTATTAGACTATTAAGAGACGGAGCAAAAATGTTCATACGCCCAGGTAGTGATTTCAAATTCCCCAAACGTTTGAGTGTACAATTTCGTAGCTTAGGGGCGGAAAACCCCCCTTCCCAAAATGATACAATTTTTGGACAGTCCACAATTTCCAAATCTTCAAGACTTGTTGGGTCATGCATGCCTCCCTCTGAAACAGAAATCATTTCAAGATTATCGCACTCTTTAAGACATAACAACTTAAGTGCAGGGAATAGATCCAAAGCCAAGTTCCTCAGAGACCCACAACTTCTTTTTACTCGTATGTCACGAAGTGAGTCATGACGTTGATGCCATGAGAACTCCAAATTCAAACATTCACCAATGTCCATAACTTCAATGCAGGTGTTAGCAATAATGTGCTCAATTTTTTCAAGCAAAGTTGCATTCGTGCATGGTCCATGAAAGGAGAGATATTTTAGAGTGGAAGGAATATATTCCAGCTGTAAATTCCCACATTTTCTAAGTGTCAAACTTTGAATCATTGGAGCCCATGGTACCAAAGTTGCAAGTTCTTGGCACTCTTGAATAACTAAAATTTCTAAGGAAGGAAGTTGCTCGGGCAACTTATCTTTCAGCTTTGGACAATTTCTTATGTGGAGCTCTTTAAGGCAAGGGAAGGCTCTTGAAGCAGTCTGACAATCCCATTCCTCCCAATTCAACATTTTCTCAAACTTCAATAATTCAAGAGATCCAAATGAAACAGCAGTACTTCCATGAAATTCAACACCCATAGATATAATGCCATCCAACCCTTGAATGGACAATGACTTGAGAGACGGCAAAAGACCCAATGATGGTAAAAAGAAACAATATCTGCAATATTTCAGCGAGAGTGACACTATATTGGACAATGTGTTATCAGCAAACCAATCTGGAAACCTTGTACCACCGTAGTAGTTGATTGATAACCTCTTCAAGTTTTGGTGAGGTTGGAGTTTTTCTAGCACATTTCTTTCATTTTGGGAATCTTTATAATCATTTTCACTCCATAGCAAGCTTAACTCCTCAAGGTATTTTTTTCCTTTCAAATTTGTGGCTAAGGCATCCATTCCATGAACTACATTCTGTAGCCTATAAATAGAAAGTTTTCCATGAAGATTAAGTTCACCTAACCGTTTGATGCTGGATTCAGTGAACTTGCCCACGTAAAATGGTGTCAGATAAACTTGGAGATTTTTCAAGTCTCCCAACTTTGGTGGAATCTTTTTCAATCTATTGTCTTGTAAGTCTAGATGACTCAGACTTCTTAATTTATGCAAATCTGAAGGCAACTCGTCCAAATATTCACAATTGTTTAGCTTCAGTGTTTGTAGATTATATAGAAGACATATTGTATCGGGGAGTCCCTTTATTCCACTACCAGATAGATCAAGGTACCGTAAATGTATGAGATCTCTTATGGAACTAGGTAACTCCACAACATCAATATTGTTACATAGAGATAAAAATCGCAAACATTTACACTTCAACAATTGATCAAGCATTATGTTGCTCCAAGTCCAATGGAAATATAGATAATATCTAAGAGGCATGAATGTTCGTAGTTTTCTACTCTTGTGCAGATGCTCAAATTGTATGAATTTATTATACCTTGTCACTAAAAAAGATAGGTGACGGGTTTTTTCTGAAATATTCAGCACTCCTTCATCCTCTTGCCTTGAACAAAATTCTCCATATACAAAATTTGCCAAATCATTGAGAAGGTCATGCATAACAAAACGTGCGTTATATATTGTAGATTTCTGAAAAAAAGACCTTGACACAAGTTCCTGGAAGCATTCATTGCCTCCCTCTTCAATTGCCATTTCAAGATGTGAGACTTGTAAGAAATCTTGAGCCATCCATAATGAAACTAACTCCTCCTTATTAAATTCATAATCTTTAGGGTATAATGAACAATAAGCAAAGCATCGCTTAAGATGAGAGGGGAGATGATGATAGCTCAATATCAAGGCAGGAAGAATATTGTCACATGAAATGTTCCATATCTCACTTGACAAAATGACATTCCATTCCTCCCAAGATAATTTCTTGTACAAGAGACTTCCGATTGTTTTCAAGGCTAAAGGCAAGCCTTGGCACTTCTTAACAATCCTTCTACCAATTTCCTCAAGATGAACAAGATTTGTTTGAGCATAGCAATTGCGAAATGCATATTTAGTAAATAACATCCAGCCATCTTCATCTGATAATTGATGTGGGTAGTGTATTTGATCTGAGGGGGCAGCCAAAGCGACATTCTTATTACGTGAAGTGACAAGAATTCTACTTCCTGGAGCCCCCTCAATGAAAGGTGCTCGAAGATCTTCCCATGATTTATCATCAACGCACCAAACATCGTCGAGAACTATAAGGAATTTCTGCCCAGTCAACTTCTCCTTTAACTTATTTTGAAGCATATCTAAATCTTCAGCGTCATCATTACATGTCATGATTCTCTTGAAAATTATTTTTGTTAACCTCAGAACATCAAAGTCATCGGAAACACATACCCAAACTCTGAGGTCAAATCCACTCTTCACTCTGCGATCATTATAGACAAGTTGAGCGAGGGTGGTCTTACCTAACCCCCCCATGCCCACTACAGAGATGATTAAAAAGTGATTGTCATTTAGCAACCAATTAATGATTATTTCTGTGTCCTCATCTCTGCCATATGTTCCAGCTTCATCCACCAAAGAGGTTGTCTGCACCTTCGTGATTGATCCAACAACACCTGCTTTACCTTGTTTTAATCCTAGATCTATTTTTCTACTCTCCAGAAACTCGAGGTTTTCAAGCACTTGTTTCATCCTTGATTCTATCTCCTTATCAAATGAACTTCCAGCAGTACCAAAAAAATTCCGTACCTTGCTAGTAACAGTAGTTTGAGTTTCAGCTTCCAGTTTGCCTTTGGAGACATTATAGTCAATCTCGGCCAAGACATCCTCAGCATCGTACACAGCATCTTTGAGCTCACAAAGCCAGGACTTCACATTTGGATTGCTGAATTGCTCATCCTCTGCATCATCAATGACACCACTGATGGATAACAGCATGATCTTCAACTTCTCCAGCAGAGCTTCATTCAATCCTCTTTTCTGGAAGTAGTCCAGAACTCCACGAGAAGCCACCTTGTCAAACGCCACCTGAAGAAAGGCAGACAAAATAGCACCACCAACAAGTTCTGCAGCCATGGTAAGGAAAAAAAGGAATCAAGAAGAGAGAGCAAGGGATGATAGCAAACAGAAAAATGAGCCTAATGCCGATGCAGGTGAAAGTTAGTATCTCGTTCACCAAATAACTCAACAGAGATCAATGCCTTGAGATGCACATTCTGACAAAAAGCAAGTGGCCGACACCTTTTGAATTATTGGAAGGATGCTTTTTGACTTAATTCAATACAGCTCACTGCTTTTGTTTGGTCTTCTTTCCTTTCTTCTCTTTCCTTTTCTTACAAGTCCCCCCGGTCACGTAATGGTATTAACTTTGTCTAATCGAACAAGATGTAGAGTAAATTTTTTTTTTACCAAAAAAATGTAGAGTAAAAATTAAGTATGAGTGTGTTTGAGTAATTTTATTTTAACTTCTATGAAATACTTTTTTACATTTGAAATGTGGAATATTATTTAAAATAAATAAATAGATAAAAGTACATTTTAAAAATACTTTTAAAAGTGGATTTGGTAGATGTAAAATTAAAAATTTAATTTATGATAAATTTAAAAAATGTGTAATTTATGATAAAAATTTAATAGCATGACTTATAAATAGCAACAACAAAAAATTCTCTACCTTATAAATGGGATCAAAGGTAGTACTTTCACAAGTCATATATTCCCTCCGTATCATAATACAAAACATCTTTTAGAAACCTTATCCAATTCAAATTATAGGATATTAAATAACTTTTATATTTATTTTTTAATGATACCCTTACTTTCTTTATTACTTTTTTTAAAAAATTATGCACTCAATTTTAATTACTATTTTCAAGACTTTTATATAAGGTATTTAATGAGAGTGTAAACGAAAAGACGTGAACATTTTTAAAAATTTAAAATTTCAATTAAAATTATTCACAAACTGTAAATTAATTAACTATAATTTATATTATCGTTCATGAGGAATAAATAATAGTGAACCTTGCAATCGTTTCTATGTTTGTTTCTATTCTTTCATTATTAACTTCATTTTTTTAAATTTGAATTTTTTATTTTCTATATTTTTTGTGAAATTGCAATCAATATATTGTTCAGTTAAAAAGTTGCATTAAAAGTGTAAGTTTTATGTTTTTTTTTTTTTAAAAGGTTCAGTTAGTAGCTTGAGTGCCAATAGATTGCAAATTTTAGGAAGGAAATGTATGGAAAAACAACAATAATTGTACAAGTATGTGTGCGTGTGTGTTTTTTTGGACGTTAAATGAAAATCATTTTTTAGTGTTAATTTTTGTTAATAGTAATGTCTTTTATCCCATTAAAAAAATGTCTTTTATCAAATAACTTTTAATTTTTTAAATTGATCAGATTATGTTGTCAATGTCAATTACACATTTAATACTTAATAACATTACGTAAATAATAAATACAATATTATATTTGGGTTATAATATATAATTTTTATTATATTTTATATGATGGAAAATAAATAAAATACATCTTTCAGTTTCAATTGAAAAATAAAAAAAATTAAATAGTTTTGAAACATAAAAAACCAAATATGAATTATATATATTAATGAAATTCATTAAATACATTTTATAATCTTATTTAAAAATATATATATATAAATTTTTAAAAATACTCTTTATTTAATATAATATTATCTACGAAATATTACAGAGAGAGAAATATATAATAAGGAGGGATTTATCGTTTTCATCTTAAATTATAAATTATTTTTAATAAAATTATAAGTAGCAATAAAACTCATTTTTTATTGACTGGGCTTACTAGAAAAGTGAAAATAGTCCCAGATGTGTTAAAATTTTCACTTTTTATTAATTTCTATTGATTTGTTCTAAAATATACAGCGTGGTGCTTTTTTTTTTTTTATATAGATACAGTGTGATGTTAAGTGTTAGGGAAAAGTAACTAGATTTTATATTTCGAAACATTACTTCTTACAGATGATCGGAAAAGCTGTTGGAATAACAACTTCATGGGAGAGAGAAGGAAAATTAAATGAATGATTTAATGTTAAAAAATATTTATTGTAAATATTGAAATTAAAATTATTTTTTAAAAAATTGTAACCCATATTTTTTTATTAAATTTTTTACTGAAAATATTGCATTTTATATTGTATTTTTGTCAGAATAATTTGAAAAAGTTTTGACCTGACCTGCGGTGAAGTTAGCTAAAGAGCTTGCAAAGCCTTAGTGGTTAAGGTGAAATGAGAAAGGAAAAATTTTAACGACGAACAGAAAGCTTTTAGAATTTTGAAAATTTTATTATTAAAATAAAATTAAAGAATTAATTGAGATGATTTTATTGTTTTCAATAAAATTAGTCACACGAACAAATTGTGCAAGAAAATTAACAATTTTTGTGTATAAAATGAACATTGACACAAGTGAAATTTGCAACTTTTACTAATAACATAATATTAATACAAATATAAATGAGTATAGTTAGGTGCATAAATAACTCGTATAAAAAAAATAAATAATTGATGTAGGTAAAATTAGAGTTGTATACTGTTTATTAAAGTTGTAAATTTCATCCACATCAATTATTTATTTTCCATATATTAATTATTAACTTTTTTACATAAGTTATTCATACACCTAATTTTACCAAAAATAATAAATTTATTTCAATTAACTTTTTAATTTTATTTTAATCTCCTATATACAGTAAAATTTTAAAAGTTTTGGTTAAAATTAAATTGAGTCAAGGGTCCTCGTTAAATTTTTCCAATGAGAAACCATTCGGAGCAGTACTTGTTTCTTTTTCCTAAAAAGATTTGAAGCAAATATCACTTGGCACGGATTGACGTGTAAAGTCAAAATCAATGCTCCTCATCATAAATTTGTGGTGGCGGTCCTCTGTATCGTCAAGATAAGTTTATCTCTATTCCTAGTCATACTTGTGTCATTTTGGTTTTTTCTCTTGAAAAAATTTCAGTAAAAGACCTTTGATGAGAGATAATAAAAAAAAACCCTAAATTTTTAAAATTTTACTAAGAGACTCATACAGAAATAACAAAATTACTCTTATTTAAATAAATAATATAAACGACTTAGTCTTTTTTATGTTATGGGTTATTTATTTATTTATGAAATATTATTATTTTTTTATTTTACTTATTTATAGTCTTGCTTTCATTTGAAATCATTTCAAGGGTAATAAACAATTGAAATAGAAAAACGAACAACATTATATAAATAAATGAACAATATATAATATGAAAATAAACAAATCATCTTATCATGAAACCAACACTTAAAATAAAATTAAGTGAAACTAGAATTATAAACAAGTAAAGTAAAAAAACGAACAGCATTCTTTAAACAAACGAACAACATACAGTATGAGAATAAATAAGTCATTTATGTTATTTATTTAAATGAGGACAATTTTATCATTTTTATCAAAAATTTGATAAAAATTTTGTAGTGAAATTTTAGAAATTTTGGGGCCCTCTTTTTTATTATCTTGAGTCAAGGGTCCCCACTTGAAATTTTATCTTTTTTTCTTTTACCCATGTTTGAATGGAAAGAAAAATGAAAAAAAAAATAAGAGAAAATGCTCTTAAGAATAGTGAAAAAATTACTATATTTAAAAAAATTTATTTGTTATTTTTCTTTTTTCCTACTTTCTTTCTACTTTTTCCTCAATTTAAATTAATTTAAATATCTTTTTATCAGAGACAATGTTTAGGCAAAGGTGACATTTTCTGTTAGAGGGAGTAATTTCTTTTGCATCACATCTTCACCCACCTTGTCCAAGACTATGACAAATTTCCACTAAGTTGACAGAGGCTAAAACTTGTATCCAATGTCTTGAGGAGATGGTTACCTACTCCAAAACTAAGCACATGTTTCCAATGACTTGAGAAGACCGTCGTTACTCCACAAGACTTGTGACTTTCCTTGGCAACTTGAAAAGAAGTCCATTCTATACATAGGTGAGAGTTAGATTTAATAAAAATGACTTGTTTATTTTTCATAATGCATTTAACTAAAGTTTGAATCTTTATTTAAAAAAAATATTCATATTATATACTTGACCGTGCCTCAAATAATTTTTTTCAAAAAAAAACACATGCACAGTAAAAAAAGAGAGTCCATTTTGAGAATCATTAAAATTCTAAATAAAAAGCAGTGTTTATCTCACACAAAAGTTAAAGTTGTGCAATCAATAATCATATAAAGATATAAGGGGTTTTCAGACCCTCACTTTAATATTATTTAAATAAAGGTGTGCAGGCTTTCCCCCCAATTGTTGATGAAAACAAAATAAAATAAAGGATAGACTTGTCTCTATAAATCAATATTCTTCAAAGCATTATAGTATTATATATATATATATATATATATATATATTAGAGAAGTGCAAATAATGTACTTCTTTGAATTCGATTTCCTAAGGCATTAAAGTACTCCCTTCAGTTTCTATTGTAGAATGTTTTCTAGAAAATTCTTTTATTTTTTATGTAAGTTACTTTGCAAGAATTTTGATAGCATTAATTGTTTTATTTTAAATATATCCTTCTTCTCAAACTCCAATAAAAAGATCAAAAATATTTTTTTCCTAAAACAGTATGGTATTTATTAGAGGTGAAAATGGAAATCAAAACACTTTTAAAACAATTTCAATAATGTAACTATTATTTTGTTCTTGCGAGTTGGTTATAAATGACTTGTAATAAAAACCGAAGGAAGTAAGCAAGTTGATGAGAACTTCAATCCCAAGTTGTATCATTAGCAGCAACGGTGTACATAGGATTATAGAGTATCTAATTCTCATAGTAACAATGGCTGGAAACTATAATTGAGAATTATATTCCTTTTGGGGATTAGATTCACAGACTATTATTAATCTACCAATTTTGACAGCTAAAAGGTTTCAATTTAAGGGAATAGTAGTAATTCTGATTGATTTGACACCATAAAGAGAGACATACACAGAAGTCCCATATATGATATACACAGAAGTCCCGTGTGTGTGTGTGTGTGTCCTATAATTATGAAAAAAAATCTCTCCAGCACTATTGGAGACTCAGAAAAAGAATATATGCTCTGTAATAAACTTTCAATGTATAACTAACAAATCGTTGATGTTAAAACATAAGGAAATATCCCACTTGAATGCTTCAAACAAATCCATGATAGATAGTATCATCAAACTACAAATGTTCTTGTTCAGCTTACTCAATTCTCCGTAAAGAGTGCAGGGGACATATGTGTCAGTATAAAACTATAAATCAATGAATGTAAAACCTATCAGTTCCTTAAAAATATTTGACGACATTGCAAGTAATGAAAAATTATTCATATAATTAACAATTCACTTGAAATTCTTCCAAATATATGTGCGTAGTGAAGAAATTTGAATTGCAAAGCCAGAGAACCAAAAAGCATCCTCAGATGCTCCATTAACAATGGCTTGGTTTGGGAACTCAACTGACAGTGTGAGAACATCTATTATTGCTCCCAACAAGAAAGAATATTAGAGTGAATTTTAAATTTTCAATATATAAATGTTACTGCTAAATAACTTTTTAGTTTTACTGTTAAAATTAATTCTCAAGAAAACATATAACGTGTTAGTATGTGTCTGAATCAGAGTGGAGGAAGCCTTAATTTTCCCGTCAATAACTTTACTTCGTGAGATTCCAACATATACTAATGTAAACAAAAGTACTGAGAGAATGTAGAAACACACCTGGTTCAGATGGAAACTCTGCCCCATCATCATCTGAAACTTCCAAGCAACACAAACAATTGTGATTGTGCAAGCTTATTTGTTCATGGACATTGATGTGGCTGTGGAAGTTCAACAGAAAATAGAACAAGGCTGGTTTTCAAACATTCCAAAACCAACGAGCAAACCCTTTGTGTATGTTGTGATTGGATCACCCACAAGCCCTGCTAGTCACAAGCAAAGAGATTCTAATAACTATGCAGCACCATCACTGAAATTCAATTCACATTGATGCAACAACAAATACAAGATGCATGTGAGATAGTGGTAAAGCAGAAGGAACAAGACCTGGCAATGAAATATGTTTTCGTAATGCATAAAATTGAGAGGCAACATTTGAGTTGAGCATTTGTTCTTTTAAAGAGAACAGAGTTGAACCAGCAAAAAGCTTCTTCATGGACTTCATTTGCGATGCTTTACATTGAGAACCCAAATGCCAGAGTAAGCTCATATTTTCCATTGCTCTCAACAAGAATAATACCAGAGTAAATCCTGCAAATTCAATAACTGTTATTGTTAACGAAGTTCTTAGTGTAAATTATGTGCAATTGAATGTCTTTTTATTTAAATTAGAAGCATATGTGCAATTGTGTGCTGACCAACAATAACAAGAAGCATTTTTCCTTTTTGTAAATATATTTGTTATACGTGGCATGCATTCCACAAGTTTATAGACACGTGCAAGCTCCTTGGGCTAGATATATGTTGGTGCACTCTCTGGTTTTTCTATACAATGGACAATATTCATCTCTCTTCTTCACTCTTTACCGTTTGAATTTAAGCTTTGAATTTAGAAACTAAAATTTGTTGACACAAAGTTATAAAAGGGATTTAGAGACCAAGTTAAGTGGCAAATAAGAAACCACACATCGTCTTCATCTGAGATAGTAGCTTTTGCAATACTTTTCCATTGCCTTTCACAAAGAATATCAAAGTAAATCCTTGTCGCTGTTAACAAAGTTTTTAGTTTGATAGGGGAATTCTAAATCCTAAGTAAATATGAAGAGAGAAACAATTCAGGTGCAATAATGTGTCATAAAAAAAATGTCTATTTATGAAAAAAAAAAAAAGATTTGCCAAAAGCTCCACAAGTCTCAAAGTAAATCATCTACTACTTTGGAGCATGATTTTAATGAAGTTATGTTTTTTTTTTTAACAAATTAAATCTCATGGAAATGCGAAAACAAAATCTAATCAAATATTTGGAAGACAATGAATGTGCATTACATATATACATGGACAAAGAAGCCTCACATTTGAGTTATTGCTTGTTCTCATGCTAAAACTCATAGATACCGCAGAAACTTTGAATCAATGTTAACACAGGTACATGTGTAAATTCAATTATCAAAGTCAATGAAACACAGAAGCAAGAAACAGCGTAACATTTTTTTTTTTTTTGGAGTTTTAGTGCAAGAACCAATGGCTATGATCACAAATGTACTTTTGCTTCTGATTTCATTGAAGAGAAAGGGGCATGTAAAGGAATAGATGTACACCAAAAGATAGAAAAAACACATACCTGTGTGGTGGCTAGGAAATACAGTAGTTGAGTCATTTGTACTTCAAAAATTGATCAAGTTAGCATATCATTATCAATCCCTGATTCCCAATGCATTGAGCTTTGAACAATCTTAAGAAAAGACCTTTGAAGTCCAACATTGTGAGATTCTAACATCTACTGATGTAAGCATGAGGAAGAAAACTTGTATTGTGCATGCTGCTCTGTTCATGGCCGTGAAACTTGAACAGGGAGGGGGGGAAAAAAGAACAAGGCTGGTTTTGAAACATTCCAAAAGCAGTAACCAATACTTGTGAAGTCCTTCAGGGAGAGCCAAAGATACTCACTCATTTTCCATGTATTGTGATGTGATTTGATCAACCCCCAAACCATTCCATATATTTCTGCATTCAACCACAAGTTCCATTATAACTGTCTGGAATAATATATTTAACAATCAAATTATGCAAGAATTGAAGTGCTTTTTTGAGTCTAAAGCATTATATATCAGGAGGGGGGAAGGAAGAGGGCTCAAAGTCTAACCATTGAATAGAAAAAAACAAGAAACTGGAGAAGTATCATCGAATGAAGCTATAGGTATATCAAAACTTCGAGGCAATTTAAAGCACTGCAGTCGAATAAAATGAAAGTCGAGGTAGGCATTGTATTGCCATTGCTAATGGTAGACAGAAGCAATAAACAATATAACAAATAATTGGTAAAAATGTACTCATCGGTAACAGAGTAGATCCTTGAAATTTAATGAATGTAACTTTTGAATCCTTATATAATTTTATAAGGGAAATCTAAATCATGAAAATTTGCACAAAGGAAAAGAAGAGAAAATTCAATTAATCCAGGGAACAATTTTAATGATTTTTTATTTTAAATGAAATCTGAGGAAAATACGAAAATAAGAAGAAAACCTCACATTTAACCATTTGCAACCATATGTTCATAAATCAAAATATTCATTAAGGATTGGAGACGTTCTTTTTTTTTTTCAAGTCTCAAAACATTCTATCCAAACTATTCATTAGCAATTAACCAAAAAAAAAATGAAGGACAGAAACGTAGTGTAGAAAAAACGACAATTCAATCAAGTATGTAATTATTTGTAAGGAAAATTAGGAAGAAGGACCTTGAGGTCAAATTATTTCGGGGAAAAAAGATCAAGGTCCTCAAATAAATTAAAATCAAGTGAATTAAAACTAGAACTTAAATTCAATTGAAGGAGGACATTGATACTTTTTTTCCCCAAAATATTGACTTCAAGTTCCTTCTATCCCATTCCCCTTTATTTGTAATCGAATGTGTGTAATTAAGGAACGATTTCAATGATTTTGTTTGTTTAAAATTAAATGTGTGGAAATTACGAAAGGAATGAGTGCACAGGAAATTATAGAAGGAGCAAAAACCTGAGTGGTGGGTAGGACTGGGAAGCAGAAATGATTGGGGTACTCGTCCTTTTTCATTAACTCAGGTTTGTCTAACACGGTCAATCCAAATGTCAGCGATGTGAGCAATCTTTGGCCAATCTTGGCCTTTCAGTTTTTGGCACCGTTCTTTAAGCAACGGACAATCTCCCCAAATACAAAGTTTAGAAAGGGAACAGGGGAAGCCCTCCGGCAAGCATTGGAGTCTCGGACAGTCTTCAAGAGACAATTTTTGGAGAGAGGACAGCTCGCAAAGACCCTTATAGTCTAACATTCTGAGATTGGAACATTTATTGAGGAAAAGACAAGTAAGACAAGGTGGAAGCAGTTGTGGTTCAGGTAGAGACTCCACCACATCATCTGAAATCTCCAACTGACTTAGAGAAGCATGAGCAAGGCCCATTCCATTCGACTTGCAATGACTTTCGGGCATTTATTGATACGAAGATACAGAAGTTTCGATGGCAAACCCCCTTTTGGAAGTGATTCCATTTCCGGACAATCACTTATTTCTAGACTACAAAGATATGGAGCAAAAATGTTCATACACTCGGGCAGTGATTTCAAATTCCCCAAATGTCTGAGATAACACCTTTGTAGCTTAGGGGCAGAAAACCCCCCTTCCCAAAATGATACAATTTTTGGACACTCCACAATTTCCAAGTGTAAAAGACTTGTTGGGTCATACATGCCTCCCTCTGAAACAGAAATCATTTCAAGATTATCACACCCTTCAAGACACAGACACTTAAGTGCAGGGAATAGATCCAAAGCCAAGTTCCTCAGAGACCCACAACTTCTTTTTACTTGTATGTCACGAAGTGAGTCATGACGTTGATGCCATGAAAACTCCAAATTCAAACATTCACTAATGTCCATAACTTCAATGCAGGTGTTAGCAATAATGTGCTCAACCTTTTCAAGCAAAGTTGCATTCGTGCATGGTCCATGAAAGGAGAGATTTTTTAGAGTGGAAGGAATATATTCCAGCTGTAAATTCCCACATTTTCTAAGTGTCAAACTTTGAATCATTGGAGCCCATGGTACTAAAGTTGCAAGTTCTTGGCACTCTTGAATTACTAAAATTTCTAAAGAAGGAAGTTGCTCGGGAAACTTATCTTTCAGCTTTGGACAATTTCTTATGTGGAGCTCTTTAAGGCAAGGGAAGGCTCTTGAAGCAGTCTGACAATCCCATCCCTCCCAATTCAACATTTTCTCAAACTTCAATAATTCAAGAGATCCAAACGAAACAGCAGTACTTCCATGAAATTCAACATCCATAGATACAATGCCATCCAACCCTTCAATGGACAATGACTTGAGAGACGGCAAAAGACCCAATGATGGTAAAACGAAACAATATCTGCAATATTTCAGCGAGAGTGACACTATATTGGACAATGTGTTATCAGCAAACCAATCTGGAAACCTTGTACCACCGTAGTAGTTGATTGATAGCCTCTTCAAGTTTTGGTGTGGTTGGAGTTTTTCTAGCACATCTCTTTCATTTTGGGAATCATCATTATCATTTTCACTCCATAGCAAGCTTAACTCCTCAAGGTATTTTTTTCCTTTCAAATTTGTAGCTAAGGCATCCATTCCATGAACTATATTCTGTAGCCCATAAATAGAAAGTTTTCCTTGAAGATTGAGTTCACCAAACTGTTTGATGCTGGATTCAGTGAACTTGCCCACATAAAATGGTGTCAGATGAACTTGGAGATTTTTCAACTCTCCCAACTTTGGAGGAATCTTTTTCAATCTATTGTCTTGCAAGTCCAGATGACGCAGACTCCTTAATTTATGTAAATCCGAAGGCAACTCATCCAAATATTGACAACTGTTTAGCTTCAGTGTTTGTAGATTATATAGAAGACATACTGTATCGGGAAGTCCCCTTATTCCACTACCAGATAGATCAAGGTACCGTAAATGTATGAGATCTCTTATGGAATCAGGTAACTCCACGACATCAATATTGTTACATAGAGATAAAAATCGCAAACATTTACACTTCAACAATTGATCAAGCATTATGTTGCTCCAAGTCCAATGTAAATATGGAAAATATCCAAGGCGCACAAATGTTTGTAGTTTTCTACATTTGTGCAGATGCTCAAATTGTATGAATTTTTGATACGATTGCGCTAAAAAAGATAGGTGACGGGTTTTTTCCGAAATATTCGGCACTCCTTCATCCTCTTGCCTTGAACAAAATTCCCCACATACAAAATTTGCCAAATCATTGAGAAGGTCATGCATAACAAAACGTGCGTTATATATTGTAGATTTCTGAAAAAAAGACCTTGACACAAGTTCCTGGAAGCATTCATTGACTACCTCTTCAATTGCCATTTCAGGATGTGAGACTTGTAAGAAATCTTGAGCCATCCATAATGAAACTAACTCCTCCTTATTAAATTCATAATCTTTGGGATATAATGAACAATAAGCAAAGCATCGCTTAAGATGAGAGGGGAGATGATGATAGCTCAATATCAAAGCAGGAAGAATATTGTTATATGCAATGTTCCATATCTCACTTGACAAAATGACATTCCATTCCTTCCAAGATAATTTCTTGTACAAGAGACTTCCAATTGTTTTTAAGGCCAGAGGCAAGCCTTTGCACTTCTTAACAATTCTTCTACCAATTTCTTCAAGATAAACAAGATTTTTTTGAGGATGGCAATTGCGAAATGCATATTTAGTAAATAACATCCAGCCATCTTCATCTGATAATTGACGTGGGTAGTGTATTTGATCTGAGGGGGCAGCCAAAGCGACATTCTTATTACGTGAAGTGACAAGAATTCTACTTCCTAGAGCCCCCTCAATGAAAGGTGCTCGAAGATCTTCCCATGATTTATCATCATCGCACCAAACATCGTCGAGAACAATAAGGAATTTCTGCCCTGTCAACTTCTCCTTTAACTTATTTTGAAGCATATCTAAATCTTCAGCGTCATCATTACATGTCATGATTCTCTTGAAAATTATTTTTGTTAGCCTCAGAACATCAAAGTCATCGGAAACACATACCCAAACTCTGAGGTCAAATCCACTCTTCACTCTGCGATCATTATAGACAAGTTGAGCGAGGGTGGTCTTACCTAACCCCCCCATGCCCACTACAGAGATGATTAAAAAGTGATTGTCATTTAACAACCAGTTAATGATTATTTCTTTGTCCTCATCTCTGCCATACGTTCCAGCTTCATCGACCAAAGAGGTTGTCTGAACCTTCGTGATTGGTCCAACAACACCTCCTTTACCTTGTTTTAATCCTAGATCTATCTTTCTACTCTCCAGAAACTCGAGGTTTTCAAGCACTTGTTTCATCCTTGATTCTATCTCCTTGTCAAATGAACTTCCAGAAGTACAAAAAAAATTTCGTACCTTGCTAGTAACAGTAGTTTGAGTTTCAGCTTCCAGTTTGCATTTGGAGACATTATAGTCAACCTCGCCCAGGACATCCTCAGCATCGTACACAGCATCTTTGAGCTCACAAAGCCAGGCCTTCACATTTGGATTGCTGAATTGCTTATCCTCTGCATCATCAATGACACCATTGATGGATAACAGCATGATCTTCAACCTCTTCACCAGAGTTTCATTCAATCCTCTTTTCTGGAAGTAGTCCAGAACTCCGCGACAAGCCAACTTGTCAAAAGCCACCTGAAGGAAGGAAGACAGAATAGCACCACCGACAAGTTCTGCAGCCATGGTCAAGGGAAGAAAAAGGAATCAAGAAGACCAGGGATGAATGGATGATTGCAAACAGAAAAATGAGCCTAATGTCAACGCAGGTGAAAGATAATAGCTTATTTGCCAAATAACTTAACACAGATCAATGCCTTGAGATGCACATTCTGACAAACAGCAAGTGGCCGACATCTTTTGAATTATTGGAAGGATGCCTTTTGACTTAATTTAGTACAGCTCACACTGCTTTTGTTTGATTTTCTTTCTTTTCTGCCCTTTCTTTTTCGGTGGGTCTAACAAGTCCCCACGGTTTAGACTACAAATTAAGTATGAGTGTGCGTGGATAATTCACTTTTAATTTTATGAAATACTTTTTTATACTTGAAATGTGAAATATTATTTTAAAAAAATAAAAAAATAAAAGTACATCATAAAAATATTTTTAAAAGTGATTTTGATATATGTAATATTATGTAGCTTTTGAAAAATAGATTTAAAGAGTGGGATATTATTTAACCATACTACCTTACATTTAATCTTTTATTCTTTTATTTAAAAAATATTTAATTTATTAAAAATATAATTATCATTTAAATAATAATAAATTTTTTAGTATTATAAATTAAATAATTAATCATATTAATTTTTAGCTTTAATGTACAATAAAAATTATAAATTTTTATCACATTTTTTAAAATTACAAATTAAAAAGTATAAATAATTAGAGATTAAGTTTTTAGCATCATAGATCAAATTTTATGTTATTTAAAATCTTTATAATATTTTTAAATATTTTAAATATATTATATTTATATAATAAAAATTATAAATCATTATAAATCAATGCCCTTTTTGTAATTGTATATTTAAAAACACATTTTACTGTTATAATCCAAACAACTTTTAATTTATTAAATTGACTTTTTAAAAATATATTTAAACACAAATTTAGTTATAACAATTGACTTTTACTAAATTAATTTTTATTAAATGAACTTTTAACAAATAGACTTTTAACAAATTTAAAACTAGACACACACTATAACAATATACATGGTATACAATTAATTGATATGTGCAAAATTTAGTGTACAATTTATATTGTCGTGTAAAAGGCAATTAATGCACATCACATATAGTATTAAATTAAAGTGAAAATAAAATTTTGTCGGAGAAATTTCTATCATTATGCTATAAATTACATTATGACTTGATTGATGACTTCTGTTTATAATTTACTTTATGAGATCATATGAAAGCCTTGCAAATATTTCTTTATCCATTTCTATGTATTTTCTATATAAAATTTGTTCAAATTGAAATCACTACATCATTCCGTTAAAAAGTTTATATTTCATCAAGTAACAAGTCAGGTTTAACAAAGAGGGCCAGAGCCTCATAATATAACAAGCTAAAATTTAAATTCTTATTACAATAGGTACCCAGCTCATATTTAATGTATTGTGCCTTCTCCAATAGAAAGACACATGTATACAAGTTTCTATATCAATCATCTGTTACATAAAAAAATGCAAGCTTTATTTTAAAATAAAAGGATCAACAAAAGTTGATCTAATTAGTAAGAATTTGATTTATAATCTACAAAGTCATGGGATCAATCATGCTGTTAATGTGAGAATTTTATTGATGGGTGATATGTAAATACCTCTATTAGCATTTTGAGTCTAAAAATATGTCTTGATCCTAAAGAAGTCTCATAACCTAACTCATAGAAATTTTTTTTATAAAACAAAAAAAAACTTATTTGTAGATTATTACTGTTTCACGTAATTTTGAATCAAGTCTCTACTATTTTTTTGTTCTAATTGAGCCCTTTAAGTTTGATCAATTGAATTTTTTAATCTCTAAATGTTAAAATCCTTAAATTTATCCTTTTTTAAAAAATGTATTTTTATTAAATGATTATTTCACTTTGGAATTAATTACATAATTCTTATAACTCAAAATTTATATAATTAGATTCTCTTTTAAATATTTTTATACATATAGAATTGTTATAATTAAATTAATAAAAATATAAATAGTATATTAAATCAAATTTTATTTTATTTTTGAATTTTGGCTAAAAGTATTACATTAAATTTTCTAAATTTTTTGTGAAATTTGACAATTTATTATTAATTTTAACTTTCAGGAATTAATATATACTCTTTCTGTTTAAAAATATAAGACATTTTTAATTGAATCTTACCTTCAATAAAGTAGTTACTTATTTTTAAACTAACCTTCTTTGTTTATATTTACCCTTATTAAACATCTTATATTAAATATAAAGTCATTCACATTTTTGAAAGAAAAAAAGTAATGATTATACCTCAAAAAATTAAAAATATTTTACATTTTTTAACATCAAACTTCTTAAAAAATATTTATATTTTTGAATGGTTTTTGAATGGATGAGGTATAATATATCAAACTATAAGAATTTGATTAAAATAAACTAAACTATAAAGATCTAATTCAAAATTGAATTAAACTGAAAAACTTGGAGATATATATTTTCTATTAAAAAAACAAATAAACCTCAAATTTCCTTGCCCTCTTATCCACGTGGACATACAAACTTATCAATGCTAAGTTTGAACCCCCGAACGTTTTTTAAAAAAACGAAGGTTGTATTATTTTTAGAACAATTAACTATTGATTCAACTATCTTTCTGACTCTACCAAAGCCCCATTTCCCTAGATCAAAAAAAGACCCATTTCTTTTCTTTTCTTTGATTTTATACTTTTTTTTTTTTGTTTTGTACTCCACACATCAAGGAAGCCAAATGATCCAATCGCCTCTACTAAAAGCCCACCAACAAACCCTTCGGCGTGAGTAGTGTTATTTGTTGTTACTGACAATGTCTTTTATCAAATAATCTGTAATTTGATAAATTTTGAAATTGATTAGTTTATATTGTCAATGTCAAATACACATTTAATACTTAATAACATTATGTAAGTAATAAATATAATAATATATTTGGGTTAGAATATGTAATTTTGATTATATTTTATATAATGAAAATAAATATAATACATCTTTTAGTATCAAGAAAAAGCGATGGGGTAAAATCCAGAAACCCACACAGACAAAGACATTTATTCGTTTTGGAACAGAGTTATGAGAGGAGAATAATTGAAAAATAAATAAAAAATTAAATTAAATAATTTAAAAACAAATCAAGATCAAATATGAATTATTTAGATGAAATTTTCTTGTCTCCAGCTCATTCTTCATTCTATAGATGCTTCAGTTTTTCTGGCTCGAGTTCCTTTTATTTTATTTCTCATTCTCATCTTGGTGGGCCAGTGAAATTTTTTTAAGAAAATGAGTTTTGGGTTAAGAAATTGTATTACATAGACCAAATTTGGCCCAATTGATAAAACATTCGGCCCAATTGAACTTATTCAATTGAGCCCAAACTTGTGTCGGTATAGTCCTTGATGGTAGCCGACCCGGCTTATCAACCTGATTAAATATTTAAATGTAATGGAATTTGGGTGGGAACAGAAAGTGGTAATTTTTTTATTTCACAAATATAAATATATTAAAGTGACGGGGAAAAAAATTAAAATTTCCTATTTATTTAAAAAATTATTATATAATATTTAAATATTGAAAAGAAGCACTAATTTTCTTTAGCCTTTCTCTTTTCTCTTTGGATTTCTAGGAAGACCAACCCAAAAGAAAAAGAAAGTGAAAAAATCAATCTTACGGAACAATCTATCATAATTGTGTTTTTAAATCTCAAATGCACTTTATTGACCTTGAAAATTACATTTAAAGACCTAATTTAAAGAGTTAATGTAAGTTTAAAATTACAATTATCTTCTACCATTAAAAGTTAGTCCAAATTTTTGAATTTATTATAAAATTCTAAAAAGGGTTCTAAACTCATATAAAAAAATTCTTACAAAGACTAATTTTAAATTTATCCTTACAATATAATCATTCATCAACGTAATCAATGTAAAACAACCTCATGAATCAATACAAAAAAAAAAAAAAAAGCCAACCTCGTGAATAATGGGATTCATCTTAAAATCTATATGAATACATAAGATTAATTTTAATTTTTAAAATTGATTATAACTTGTAATCTTTGGAATAGTTATAGGTTTTAAAATATGGTTTTCCTTCAAATAAAAAAATGGCAATGGAAAAATCATTGAGAGAATGATAGATAAATCTTTTTATATAAAAAAATGATAATTTAATCTCACGAAATGTAATAATAAGGTTTCAAGAGATTTCTTTAATATTAAATTTATGTATGAAATTACTTTAGTATCATTTTGCAATTTAGAATGTTATAATTTTTTAAATTATTTTAATCATTAGTGAAATTAAACTTTTGAATGTTTATATTAAACTTGAAAACGATATAAAATTAGTTTAACTTTACTAATATAAAGTTATAATTTTTTAAATTTTAATCATTGGTGGAATTGAATTTGTAAATATTTATATCAAACTTATAAACCATATAAATTCAGTTAAACCTTGTTGATTCAAGAAAATTACTAATAGAAAATTGTGATTTTCTCAATTGTTTTAGTCATTGATGGAATCAAATTTACAAATACTTATACCAAACTTAAAAACTATATAAAATCGATTAAACCTTACTGATTCAAGAAAATTGCTAATAGAAAGTTGTGACTTTTTCAATTGTTTTAGTCATTGATGGAATCAAATTTATGAATAATTATACCAAACTTGTTAACTGTATAAATTAGTTGTAGAGGGTTATTAAAGTAATTTTATACATAAATTTAATCACAAAGAAATTCCTTGTAATCTCACTATCACTATCATATTATTGCAAGATCAATTGTCATTTTTCTATTTTAGATAGATTTATCTGTCATTTTTTCAAAGTCATTCTTAAATTATTATTCAATTGTCAACTGTTCATCAATTCAATATGGAGAATTAACTATTAAAATTACTTAACTTGATAAGAATGAGTTATATTGTATAAGAGCACAGATTTGAATCTCATTACCAATGTAAAAATCTCACTCGTGAATAATGTTTTAAGTACTTTGATTTTTATGTAATAATTATACTACAAAAATAAATAAAAAATCTAATTATATAATGATGTTGATTAGTTTACATGACCAACTTTAATTATTTTTACATACTTAATTTTTTAAGATGTTTTTATAAGATATTGACTTTTTTCCTTTTGAATTTGAAGTCTTGATGAACATCACCGTGTGTGTGTTTAAAAAAAAAAAAAGATCAAAGAGCTATAAAGAGAAATTTTTCTCCTAAAAATAAATAAAATGCATGTAGTGGAAAGCAGGTGATTATTATGCGAGGAAATAATAAAAAGGGCATTATTGGATACTCAATTTCCTTTTCATATGTCCCTTTGTCCCACATGTCCCCAACGTTTATGAAGAAATTATGGCTGGTGGACCCCCTTCCAACCTCACCAACAAATTTTCAAAATTAAATATAATTTCAATGGACATTTCAGATATAAAGAATTAGAATAACTTGAAAATAATAAATAATGTCTATTGTTTTCTTAATTTAAAAGCCAATGTAAGGAGATATCAATTTTGACATGTAAAATAAATATTATATGTATTCATGAGTGTTTTCTCTCTTTTGGCAGTGCAACCATGTCATAATATTAATATAATATCCTAACAAAATTTAATTCATCTAATTTTTTTAATTATGTATAGGTGTCTTTTTACTTGAAATAATTTTATTTGAGATAAATCAGACATTAAATATAGATACTTTTTTTAGCAAGTATTTTTTTTACACAAACTACTGATAAATTCAATTGGACTACTATCAAGCTTAATTAAAAGCAAAGGAAAGATTAATCTTTGATCCTTATAGTTTGACTTATTGTAACTCAATCTTTAAATTTTAACTCTTGCAACTCAATTTTTATATTTTTAATTAGTTAAACATTGATCTTTATATCTTAAAAAATAAAAATATAAAGATTAAAATTATGTTAAAATTTATTAATGATATTTTAAATTAATGGTTAAAACTATATGGACTAAGTTGTAAGAAATAATGTTCAGGATTAAATTACAATCAAATTAAAATTATAAGAATGAGTTACAATGAGTCAAAATTTAAAAACTAAGTTACAACTTAATCAAAACTATAGAGACTAAATGATTAATTTTTTGAAAAGTAAATCTTCCAAAAAAAATTAAATGAGAAGCACTTTAGGTAGATTTGGATTTTACAAATTACAAATATAGGTAACTCAAATGCTAATTCATAGTATTCTTTTTAAAAGACTCATTTTTTTACATTGGGTTAACTGTTAGCCTATGCCCTGATTGAATCTTTTGATCATTAAATTATTTCTCTGTAAAAATTATTTTTTTATAAAATAATATACTCTCTTTGTTAAAAAATATAAGAAATTTTTAACTAAATCTCATCCTCAATAAAGTAGTTATCAACTTTCAAATTAACCCTATCTTTTCATATTTATCCCTATTAAATACTCCATAATAAATATAAAGTCATTCATTAGTAGGGGCACTTTAAAAAAAGACAATGATTACATTTTAAAAATTAAAAATGTCTTATATTTTTTTAACATTTAATTTTTCAAAAAATGCGTTTCATTCTTGAATGGAAAAGTATATCTTTCGATAAGGGGGAAAAAACTATACAAAGGTAAAATCCTATTTTTTAAAGAAATATGTTTTGACCAGATTTGCAGAGAAATATTTCAATTTATTATTTTTTTATATTTATATATTTTGTTTGACTTATTTAATTAATTTATCGCTTTAAATTAAATAAACATAACATTCTCAGTTATTATTTTAACTCGGCATTCATAACTTGTAGTTGGGGGAGGTGGGGGTTAGGAGGTGGGCATGAAGGAGCTGTCGCTTCTCCCTTGGCTAATCATCATAAAAAATAAAGAATGAAATTAATAAATTGATATATTGCATATAGACAGAGACATGAAATGAGTTTTTGTTAAATTTGTTTATTTAAAACTCACATTATATATATATATATATATATTTTCTGTTTATATATTTTATTTTAAATGAATTAATTGTATAAAAATTGATACACACGCTTAATTGATGGAAAAGCATGGAATAGAATAGGGTGATACAGAATATAATAAACTTAAAAGATCATGATGATATATAGATTTTTTTATGAGTGTAGAGAAATGAAATAATAAAAAGATGAATATATATATATATATATATATAAGTTTTTATTGGAAATATAAATTAATGACTTTATATATAACGTGATTAATTTATATTTCCAATTTTTATAGAATGATGATTACAGTGGAAGAGAGACTATTTACATTATTATGAATTTATGATCAACCAAACATAAAATATATGTTTAGCCCTTATATTAAATAAAATTATAAAATATATGTTTACACTGTAACAATGATTACTATGAGAGAGATTATTTCTAGCAATCATAAAGGAATTGAAGCATGCAATATGAGATCTCTTGTGGAAGTTTATAAATGGTAACCACCACATGATGATTATTTATACTACATGCACTTGCAAAACACTGATAAATACTAATTAATTAATTAACTATTAACTAATTAAGTTAATATAAAACTCCAAAACTATCACTTTTAACGTGTAACAAACTTAGATTTTGATTTTTTAACTACTTTAGCTAATATAAAACTCCAAAACTATGACTGTTACAACATGTGTAACAAACTTAGATTTTGATTTTTTAACTACAATAAAGAAGTCAAAGTAACAAACTTTTACTCAAATTCTCATCACCTAACCGTCTAGCCTTAGGTGGGAAATGAGGGACTTTAAAGTCAATAAAAAGTTCTAAACTTGTGAAGAGGACAAAACAGAGAAGGTTCAAATCATTCAGATTCCTTTGCATTTCCAGTCATTAAGGTAATAACAAGAAATCTGATGTGGCTGCTGTTTGTTTTCCCGTGCAAGAGAGCTTGAGGAACACATCCTTGAAGACGAAATAATCTTTTGTTAAATCCCATAAGAACTTCGCAGATATAGTAAGAACAACAGTATTAAAGTTGACAGCTTTTATGGAAATTCTCCGTGTTCCTGTCATTGTCACAATTCTCTAATCTCATCATCTTAAAAGAAGGAGTCAATCAATCCACATCTGTAATTTGGGATCCGAACTCAATGCCTGAATTATGCATCTTCAGTTTCAAACAAGAATCTTCCTTTTGACTTTCCTCAAACTTCAACAGCATCATCAACAATCCTGAAATCCTTCTGCGGTATCCTTTTCCACATTTTGTGTTAGGAGAGAATGAGAAAATCTTGGGTTTACTACAGTGTTCATACATCCAACGGCTAAGATTGCAGCCATACACATTGAGCCAGCGTATCGATGCAATTTTAGCTGTCAAGTGTACAGGCACAAAAGTGCACTCAAGATACTTTCACAGAAAATCTACCCCTGATTGTCGTCCAAATTAATTTCTTTGATGTCACACATTGGATTTTACTTGATAATCTCTTCAAGCTTCCAAAGGACTTGCTTTATGTTTGGTCTCAATGAAGGAGAAGGAGAGCAACAAGACATGGCAAGTTGAAAATACTTGAGGATGCATTCTTCGCTAACTGGGCCACCATTTTCTCTGCTCTTGCTGAGAAGAATGTCTGGATGGTACAAATCAGAAATTCTATGTCCTAGCACAGCAGTTCGCATGAAATTTGGCAGATAGAAATCCTCATCAGGGGTTGGATGCTCATTGATAGGCTCCTTCCTTGAAAGCAACTCGAGCATGATCACGCCGAGGCTGTATATATCGGTCTCCTCACTAACATCCTTCATTTTGATCAGTTCAGGTGCCTTGTAACCCTGAGCAGCTGAGGCTTCAAGCATTTCTTGGCCAGCAGTAGGATTCAGGAGAAGGTGAAGGCTGAAATCTGAGATGTATGGCCGGTAATTGCGATCTAAAAGGATGTTTTTTGACTTGAGGTTACCATGGATCATAGGCTTCTGAAGTCCAGTGTGAAGATGCTCTAATCCTTTGGCTATACCGAAGGATAGTCGATATATCGTAGCCCAGTGGTAAAACTCGCCATTTCCATCTGCTCAAGGAACATTCTTGATCAACAAAGGAGATTCATATACACAAACCCTTAACAAGCAAATGCTTGACCAAAAGAATATATAGAAGACTAAAGAAGTGAAAAGTAGTAGGAATTGAAGAGTAAAGGGAAAAGACAAAAGGGAATGCAAATACATATTAGTCAGTGACAAAGCTATTTGAATCTTAACCATACTTGATAGAGATTTCAACTTTTGAATTTCACCTAAGTTTATGAATCAGACCAGAACATATAAGCAGATAAAGTACATGAACTAAAGAATAATGCCAGAGCCATTATAATGACAATAGAACTTAGCAATGCCAAAAAAAAAAAAAAGACCAGTTATGTTCCAATGAATCAGAAAACTGAGCACTAAGTTCAAATAAATGATTGATGGAGATGGCATCTCTCCATAGCAACATGTGTTTGGTTCCCATCGGGAGCACCTACATATAGAATCTTAAATACAATAGACCAATTGGGATGAACTCTTGCAACAATAGTTACTCTTCTATGATATGCATATTATATAACCCATCAAAATATTAATTCAAGCCACTTAATTTTTTCACTCAGTAAATAAGATAAGTATCAGATACTGAAGCTATCATGCAGCTAAGTATGATTTTTTTACATCTTTTCATTATGTGGACTTAATGATTCACTTTAAGATCTCTACAATTTAGAATTAAAAAACAGTAGGCAATGCTATGAATCCAAACCAAGTTCATTCCAAAAAGAATATAGTAAATAATGTTTACTTTGGAGTACTTGACTCTAGAAGCACTCTTGCTTCATATATATATATATATATATATATGATACTGTTCAACATTCTGTAACCTGATCAAAACTACCTGCTAGAAATTAACTGAATATTTTATAATCATTCAACACCAAGCACCCGTGGCATGTTCAGAAATATAGATCATGTTGATAAAATCAGGAAGCTTCCACGGAATGAGAAAGAGAAATTTCCAGGGAATTTAAACACCATGATCCAAAGGAGTAAATGAAAAAAAAAAAGGAAAGAGAATGAATCAGTGAATCAGGTACCTCTTATGAACTGAGTGAGATTCCCATGACCATAAAAGGGGTGAACAAGAAGCTTCTCACCCCTTGGCCCAGTGTAAAACCCAACAAGAGGAACCAAATTGGGATGCCTTATCCCTCCAATCATTCCAATCACATCAACCAATTCTTCATCCCTTGTAGTGCTTACTGGCCTCAAAAATCTCAGAAGCCTCACTGCATTGCATCTCTGCAACAAGGCCTTATAAAGTGTACTATAATTGGATTTTCCAATTACTTCCCCTGGAGCTTCAAGAATGTCACATATTGTGAGGTTCTCACCTCCTCCGAAGATCACCAAGTCCTCTTTCTGCACCGTATCTTCATGTTTGAATCCTGGACTTTCTACGTCTTTAACCTCATGGGTTGCTCTTCTTTTGCTGTAAAAGAAGATATAAAAAACAAGAATTGAAACTGATGCAGCGAAAGTTAGTCCAAGAAGAAACATAACCATGTGGGTCATCTTCAGAAGATGAAAATCTTTTGATCTCTTTGTACTAGAGTAGTGAGTGTGAACTCACAGAGACTTTAAAAATTGAGGTAATCTTAAAAAATTGGGGATTGAAGAAATAGGGAATTAGGATCTGGGTGTCGTTAGAAAAGCTAGAATGAGTTGGTTTGGATGGAAAATGGGCTTAATTTTCCCGGAAAATAATATCCATTCAGAAAATACAAGACAGAAAAAGAAGAACACGGATTAGAATTCTGCTGAGGGCGGAACCCAAGCTGATGGAAGGACAAAAAAAATTAAAAATTGGGATCTGGGAACCACCTGGCTTTCTTGGAAAACTGGTTTAAATTTCCCCAGAAAAAAAATATATATATATATATTCGTACTGCAGGTATATCTAGAGATTAAACAATGAGGCAAGAAAACTTTTGGAAAAAGGATCTAGGTATAGCTAAACAACTGAAAGACGCTTGTTTCGACGGAAAATCAGCTTAATTTTCCCGGAAAACAGTATTCATACATACTGCAGATACAGGACAAAAGGGAGAACATGAAGTAGAACTCTGAGGTGGAACAAAAGTTGATCGGATGTATGTAGAGTTCAGATAATGGGGGAAGAAAACTTCAGAAATTAGGATCTGGGTAATACTAGAACAACGGAACTGGGTTAATTTTCCCAGAAAATAAAATCCACTCTGCGAGTACAGGACAAATAGAAGAACATGGAATCGAACTTTGTGGGGTTGATGGGAATATCTAAGAAGGTAAAAAAAAGTGATCAATTACTGGAGCAGAAATGGACGTTGGAGTAAGGGACGGAAGGCGCAAGCATTTGGCAGTGTCGCAAGAAAACTACGATGGAAGAACATACACTGATATACGCACTGGCCAAGCAGGATGACAGATCAAAAGCCATGTGAGGCTCCATCTTATGTTGACTGTATTGTCAGTGTTTCTTAATTAGATTACGTATTTGCCCCTCAAACTTGTTTGTTTTTAAAGTTTTCTTAACTTGTTGGCGGTTGGTCATAAATTGATTAGATTATGAATAGCAACATATTATTATTATTATCATCTAAATTTTTTATTATATTATGGACAATGATGGTTATAAACTCAAAGAGATTATTTATTTTAATTTTCTTTTCATTCTTCTGTATTTGGGAATTTCGTCATCTATTTAATTTTTGATATATATATATATAATAGTTATTAATATTCCCAAGCCATGAATATTATGATTTTTTTGGTCATAAAATAATATGATTTATTTAAAAAGAATCCTCAAGGAAAAATATATCTATTTTTGAGTAAAAATGAAATAAAAAATGTATATCTAAAGCCTGATTTTATTTAAAGTATGATAATTATATAGTAATTGTTTGATAGGTACGAAAAAGTTCATTTAATATTTAATTATATATTAATTTTTAATTTTATTAATTTTTTAATAGTAATTGTTTGATAGGTGCAAAAAATTTCTTTTAATATTTAATTATATATTAATTTTTAATTTTATTAATTTTTTAATCCTATAATTTTGAAAATATGGTAAAAACTTTGTTTTTCCTATAACACCACTAAATTACTGGATGAAAAAATATTTACATAAAATGAAATTTATTTTTCTGTAATAGTGTCAACTTTCAACCACCTCATCATATCCATGTTAACCAGCAAGGCAATCATCATAAGTTGGTCCTAAGGAAAAACAAAGCACCAGCAACGACATTAGTAATGTTCATTTTTTAATACCCGAAAAAACATGAATATAGTAATTAATTGGAACTAACTTAAAGGATAGAAATAATTAAAATGATGAACAAAAGTTGGTTCAATTAAAAAATATTTGGCTCACAAATAAAAAAGTCATGGACTTAAATTTCTCTGCCAATGTAAGCAGTACATTTGGCTCAAGGTGTGCAAATTCAACCCCTCAATTTGGGGAAAATACAAGTAAAATATATTAATTTGTTGTAACTTTATACCCTTACTCTTAATATTTTATACCTTTTAAATTAAATAAAAAATATTTAAATTCTAAAGCTTATTACATATGTAATACTTTAATAATCGAGATAAGATATGAAGAATATATTTTCATAAAAGAACATATTAACATATTTTAAATAATTTTCAAAAAAGAAAAATGGTGAAAGTCTACTTATGTTATTATAATTTTAGTTTTAGTGTAATTATTAATTTTTTAAAAATTATTAATTTTTAAATTAAATTATGTCACATCCCCCGACTTTGAATCTAAACTCTACCAATAGATGTATGAACGTTGTTGGTAGACAATGTGTAAGTTTTCTTACAAGTATTATTTGAACCTAGAAGTATATCTTAACACTTGTGAGTCCCTGTGACCCACCTTATTGAAAATTAAAAAAAAACTAAATTGTATATAATGGTTACGAATTCAAAGTCTTGTATATAACAAAATCCCATAAAAAATGTGATTTTTGTAAACAGTGTGGTTTATTTAAAAAAAACTTTATGCAAAATATATCAATCTTACATTTACTTTTCAAACATTTTTGTGTTATGTACCTTATAATTAAAAATAGATAAGTTGATGATTAGAAAATCATACCTAACATTATCACAAGCCCTTCTATTCTTTCTATTATAAATTTTTTTTTTAGCCAAATTCGTTATAGAATTCTTAAATATGATACCTCCCAAGAGGGAAACAACCTGTGCACCAGAAAAGTCGTTTAGATCCCAATCTGAATGTCTTTCTTTACTTACATCTCAATCTTGCTCGGTTGTAAATATAATAAATATAATTTTAAAAAGAAAAAAAAAAAGAAAAACAAAAGTCAGACCGATAATCTGTTTGTACCTGTAATTTAAATTAAATAATTCGCAGTTTAGAATGATTTTCTGCCCCATGTGGGGCGCCAAAGAGGCCAAGCAATTGATTATTGATGGTATGTAATTCACATGGTTTGAAAATTCCTTGTTCGGATCAAAATGGACAATAATGTAACATTCTTCAAAATTTTAAAAATTAATTATATCAATTTGATCATAAATAATATTTGTTTCTCATTCATTTATATTTATTTATGTTTAACAACACAGTGCATGGACATTTGGTGTTCTAAATTTTTACGTTACAATGTTCTCTTTTAACAATTACTACATAAACTTAGTGCAACACGTTATTCATGTTTTATTCAATATATCAATTCAATTAAATAAAATATTATGCATTATTTTTTAATGATTTTATTTTTATAATAAAATGTATGTTTAAATTTTTTATATCTTTTCTCTCTTTGTTATAATTAATGACAAAATTAATTCATATTTAATATCATGTAAATATTAAATTTTTATTATAAATTACCAAGTTAATGCAAGAATTTTTCTCATAACAATCTAAATAATATGTTTATTAAATAAAGCATAGATAACGACATAACGTGGTGCATCTGATGCATTGAAAAAATTTATAAATCATAGGACAAACTTTTTAGAAGGTTCCTGCCAAGCTGGCTCCAAGAACGGAGAACAGCCATCAATTTGCGGCGTTAATTTTGCATAGATAGTCTTTTTTTTTGTTTGTTTGTGATATTATTCGTAACTTTGTTTTTCGACCGACAATATTATTCGTAACCTTACTTTTTCATTTTTCCTACTTTTTTAAATGGTAAACAGTAAAAGATTTAACCAAAAATTATATATCGAAATCATGTAGCCTTCTTAATGATGATCATATGCGTTTAGAATAGCAATTGGCAAATAATTTAGACTAACACAAATGATAATTAAAATACAGGTTCGGAGATCAGCAAAGGTTTAAAGGAAAATAACAGTCAATTCCCAAAAAAAAAATGATACTTAGGTTCCTAACAAAATTTTTTTAAAAATAAATTATAAATATCAATTTATAAATAAAAATTCTTGTTATAATTTAAGAATTATATTTAATATTTAAATTCTTATTTACAATTAAAATTCTTGAATTTATAATACCTATGAATTCAATTTTCTTTACATTTCTTTTTTTTTTAATTTTATTTTCACATCTCTCCTTGATCACATTATACTCAAACATTTTATAGTTTCATAGAATCTTTGGCGAGGAGTGAATTATTTCTTTCTTTCATATAATATGTCTAAGCATTTATCGACCGAGTTGGTGGTTATTATAAAGCATTTTTTAAAATTAAGTATTATGTTTAAAAATATAAAAGACATTTTAAATCTTTCAATGTGTGATTAATATAGTTTTTTTTTCAAAAATACTATTAATTAAGGGTTGTAATTAATAAAGTCTTTCAAAATATCATGTTCAAAAATATAAAAGATATTTTAGATCATTTAAGATATAATTATGTAAAAATACTCTTAATTAAGGGAAATAATTATAAGGTCTTTTTAATTGAGACATCCTATTAAATAAATACAAACATAAAAATCGTGCGTAATTTAAAAAAAAAATATTAACTAAGTACTCATTTAAAAATGTAATTCAATTAAAAAAATTTTATAACATTAAATAAAAAGAGTACTGATTAGGTTGACCATAATTAGCGGGCATCCATCAAGTTAGCCCTTTATTCCCCAACATAAAAGCATGGGAAATATTAGTGGCCAGTGGTATCACAATAATGAAAGAAGTCTTTTTTTTTTTTTAGTAACTACATTTTTAAAAGATATTTACTCCATTTTAAATTATAAAATATTTTTTTGACAGTTCATGTCCCAAGAAAAGATATTTAACAAAAATAAAATTTCATTAATGATATTTTTTAATATTATATTTCTCATATATTCTCTCTTTTTTAATATTCTTTCATAAATAAAATATTAAATGAGGATATTTTTAAAAATTTATATTTTTTATTTGAAAAAGTAAGATTATAAAATGTATTTAAAAAATTTTATCGGTATGTATGATTTTGTCTTAAAATATCTTGTAAGCTAAAATAGGTTGAGTATAATAATAAAAAGTAACAAAATTTATAATGAAAGAAAACTTCTTCTTCAATACAAGGTTACGGAAAATTGTGTAAGAAAATAAATTAATTCATATCAAAATTGAAAAATAATCTGCATTTAGGTGGTGGAACTCCAAAAATTGTTGTGCCAAGATTTTTATTGATGGCGTGGTGAGCAAGTCAATTAATACATTTATTTGCCTTCTTGAACAATTAGTAAAAGGTGATTATTTAATCTATCATAACAAAAATATCACAAAGAGGACGGTCATTAGAGAAGTTTGTCAAGTGATCATCAAAACTTTGAGAAAATCTAAGGAGATGTAAGCTTTATCAAATTTAATGTTATAGCAAAGCTCTACAGGTTTTCAAGAATTTTCGAAAGTCAATAAACGATAATCAAGATATTTATAGAAACATCTAACTCAATTACCTTGATTATCATGAATGAAATGAAACTTTGACTTTGCAACCAATAAATGTATTCCTCAGCTAGCAGAAGATTATACAAATTTAACCAGTAATTAATTTTTTGTTCAAAGTTTTAAATATGCAAATTTGTTAAAATCTCAATAGAAGAACTTTGCCATCTTCAAGATCAAACTTTAATTTGATCAATTGGATTAGCGAAAGTTCACTGCAATTTTTGAATACCTTATGGTTTGTTTTAAAAAAAATAATCTTTTCTAAAAATATAAAATTGTATTTTATATTAAATAAAAAAGCATGAGAGAGCAAGAAAGCTGCATAGCATGAAGATGCTTTGGAAGACTTTGGTGTCTTTTGTATTAGGTCTTAACATCTCAATTCATATGTATAATAAATATGATAGAATAAAGTAGTTCATGCGTACCTGAAGAATCCATGAGTGTTAGAGAAATCTCGATTACCTCGAGTATAGGCAGTTACTGTAACACACCAAA